AGTCTTGCACTGCTAAATTAGGGACGGCTAGCGCAGATAGCCCTCGTGTAGCTTTGCGTGAAATTCAAAAACAAACGCTTCCCAGTGGCACAGCGGTATGTCTGCGGACTTACAACGCTAGAATCCGGGTTTCGATACCAGTGGTGGGCAGGGCACAGATAGCCCATTGTGTAGCTTTTTGCTTAATTACAAACAAACAAAGCTACTACCCTTTTTTATATTTTTGTTGTCTGATTTTATGTGAAGAGTTAATTCACTATCAGGAAAGTTTTTTGTTGTTTTTTTTTAGCACGGTAGTTTTTATGCGTAGTTTGAAAGCTACGAAATGATCCATACACGTTTTAAACGTTCTTATTTTTAGGTATTTTACCTTGCTAGAAGAAGTTCTGAGTAGCCCACAACGCGATATTTCTTTCATATTTAAAATCAGTTAGGCAGACATTTTCTGAAATCTCGAGAGTTTTTCTCTAGTCTGCCGAGGCCTGGATAACATCATGTAAACTTCTAAGTGAAACTTAAAAGATCGAAATATCGGATCGAAGATGTTTCTGGGCAACTGGTGTCTTTACGAACCCTCACCACGAAATTCCTGTCTGTATACGTTCCACAAAACAAACATCTGAAGCTATCAGACTCGCATATCTTTTAAAAAAAAACTTATATCGGCTGAAGAATTCCGCTACATTACTGACGTTAGGTTTACTTTACACCCGGTAATGGGGTGTAATGACGTTAGGTTTACTTTACACCGGCAAATGCAATCTAATGATTATGAATCACACTGACACAGAGTTTTTCCTTTCATTTAACTTGGTAAAAAAATCTGAGCTTTTTCGCCAACTTCAAGTAAAAATAAACTGAGTAAAACATTTCAGTCCACCAATATAATTGAAACAAAACATACATATATATCTGATATCACTAACTTGAAATACAAGCCTATTCTAATCAATTTCTTACAACGATCATTATGATGTGACGCCACCTATTGGCTATTTAAGATTTATCATCTTTGATTTAGCGTAAAAAAAAAATTAGCATGCTTAATTTAATTTAATCACATACTTTATTTTCATTGATAGCAGTTCATCCTAACAATCATCCGAGCTTCGACGTTTATTAGAAATATTAAAAATTCACCTGTGCGGCGAAATCTTTCGGACTTTGAAAACATTCGCACACGCTCCCTTTTGAAATTCTTAGTTTATTATGATAAATAAGAAATAACGAGCGAAGTATTTTCGGACGACGCCTCACAGTAGGTCTTTACCTATGTCGCAATGCGACCTCTTGCGGACGTTACAAACTTTCGCATAGCCTTTTGAAAAAAAAAAAAACATGATGGCGACCCTGAAGTAAGTTATAAACAAAGTAATTAGTCGTGGTAGCTTTATAACATTAAACCAACTACGAAGCTTTATGAATTTATTTTGTTTACATTAGGGCTAAGAGTTAAACGTTTATAAGACTTTGAATGACGTAGAAGAAACGACGCCATCTTGAACTATTTTCAATGTAAATAGACAGCATGGATTAAAGTTCTTCAAAAAAATTATTGTTAGTCAGGTGTGACGTCAGACTTCCCGGTGAGGGGTCCAAGGTGGGCTCTAAAGTATTCAGAAAATCGACCACCTTTAACAGCAAGCTTTTTACGTTGGGTGCGGGTGATGAGGGGTGGCTAAGGCACATTTTGGAGTAGCTTCAGCCCCAGAAACTCCCCTCCCCCTACTGCCGTCCCTGTTGCGAGTAACCGATACATTGTATCCTAGACGAATGCTGCAATATTTAACTGATTACACGTGTCACATTACACTGGAAAAAATTGTTTTAAGGATGATTTAACAATACATTACACTGGAAAAAAATTGTTTTAAGGATGATTTAACAATACATTACACTGGAAAAAATTGTTTTAAGGATGATTTAACAATACATTACACTGGAAAACATTGTTTTAAGGATGATTTAACAATACATTACACTGGAAAAAATTGTTTTAAGGATGATTTAACAATACATTACACTGGAAAAAATTGTTTTAAGGATGATTTAACAATACATTACACTGGAAAAAATTGTTTTAAGGATGATTTAACAATACATTACACTGGAAAACATTGTTTTAAGGATGATTTAACAATACATTACACTGGAAAAAAATTGTTTTAAGGATGATTTAACAATACATTACACTGGAAAAAAATTTTAAGGATGATTTAACAATACATTACACTGGTAAAAAAAATTTAATGATGAATTAACAATATCTATAGACATTTCGCCGATAAAACTCAGTTAAATGAACGTCAAGATAATTGGAAAATTTATTGTCCGAGTCTATAGTCTGAAGTTAACTCGAATAAACCGATATAATCTGTAATCGACTTATTACAATTAGCTAATAAAAAATATATCGATTATCGTGAGCTAATGTGTTCGTTTAAAGATAACGTGGTTAGTCAGGTAACGTATATATATATATATGTCGTCTGTGAACATTAATGAAAGTTTGAAAGAATTCCGGTGGATATTAAGCCCCTCTCAGAGGTTCGGTGAGGCCCGGGCCACTTCTATCTTTTGAGGCACCCGACTATGAAAAATAATTATGACACATGAAAACAAAATAAGACAATCATTAGCCTAAAAAAAGTGAAACATAATTTGAATATTTAGTTTGTAATTTGTAGCTCTAAGCTGAGTGAGAGTCGCGTTTTGGTATAATTGGGAGGCACATAAAAACAACTCGCGAAATTTCATAAATACAAAAAAAGTCTATATTTGCGGCCCGGGCCAAATGCCCTTCGTCTTTAATTGGCCCTGTGGATAGTACATTATTACAATAAGACACACAAACATACAAAGTTGTTTAAGAAGCAGCGTTTTTATTACGATTACAGTATTAGTAAAAAGCTGCAGATACAGTGATCCAATTTCACAAAATCCAAACAGAACACGTGTAGTAACACAACACGTGTACCCTCACTTAGAGTCAGTTTCAACCAGCAGCTACATCATCTCTATCAAACCACGTGACATTTGAACAACACTTATAAAACTCGAGAGATAATACATAGTATATTAACGATTTCTATTGAAAATCAAAGAAGTCCAAATGTAAATGCTTTAAATTTATTCATACCTGGCTAGACATAAACACTTGGTTTAATTTAAATTAACTGATTACGACGTAATATGTGGTATATACATTTAACAGTTCTCCTATCAAATCGTTTCCATAACAACTATTATTTTAGACAACGTATCAAAATAGACATTCGGGTTTCTCTTATAACGATATTCTAATAATAGTTACTTTTTCATTTGTCAAAAATGTCTTGAAATACAATGTTAGTTAAATGTTTTACATTATTCACGTCTGTATACAACAAAATTAAACAAAAACTTGGTTTTCAAATAGAGAAAATTGTTTAGGTTTCATATCGAAGCTCCGGAGCTGACGCTCTCAAGTTACCTTTGTTCCTTAATGGCGTAAGAAGCGTAATATAAATGCATCACAGTTAGGAAAAGCAGGACAATGCATAAAATTTAATCCAGAGCTCAAGAGCTACCAGGGGTCCTAAGACGAGCCCTGAACCCCGGCCCTAATGGGTGCGCTTATGGTACACTTTCCCTTGGTCTAATAAGTCCCCCTCTTCTCCCCCAACTTCTACACTCCTGTTTTTTCACTGTTCAAGTTTCTATTTCTGATTTTATTCATATGTACATTTTACGTTGATGTTTTTGTTTGTTTGTTTGTAATTAAGCACAAAGCTACACAATGAGCTATCTGTGCTCTGCCCACCACGGGTATCGAAACCCGGATTCTAGCGTTGTAAGTCCGCAGACATACCGCCGTGCCACTGGGGGCTTGTTTATTACGTTGAAGCGCAACCGTGTGTTGCGAGTAATTATTAAAAATCTTTAGTGGTTTCTGTTTACAGTAGTTGCTTGACGTGAACCTTGAAAATAACTGGGGTTTTTTAGGTTTTACCACTTCAAATATTTAAAAAAAAATACTAATTATTGTTCTTTTCCGTTTTCTTATTGTTGAGTATTTATTTTTCATATAAATTGGTTATTTTCGAATGTTATAGAACATGAAAATTAAATTTTCTCACAGTTGAAAATAAAAGGTATTTGTTTGTAATTAAGCACAAAGCTACACAATGGGCTATCTGTGCTCTGCCCACCACGGGTATCGAAACCCGGTTTCTAGCGTTGTAAGTCCGCAGACATACCGCTGTGCCACTGTGAAAATACGAGTTCGCTGGCCTTTTTTTTGTGATGAAACGAAACTTTTGATATTCCAATAATTAATGTGTAAAGTGCAAATTGACTTCAGTGCATGTCGAAAACAAACTTGTTATGTATATATTAAAATGGATCTAATGTCTGTTGTTAAGAGCCTGGGTCCACCTAAGTTGTGCTCGATACTAGGATTGACATTCCTTGCTTTCAGCGTTATAAGCCCTGAAGCTTAAGGTTGGGCCACTAGGGGGCCCGACTTAACGATATGAAATTTCGGACTAAATGTATAAAATCACAGTTTTTGTAGATTTAGTTACTTATGTAATTAAAACTACATTTATCCAAGTACAGATAATATTATTTCCATTAACTACTGGGTGCACGTAAGGTTGGCCAAGTCGTTTTTTTTTAAATATTAAATCTATTGAAAGACGGGGGACTGGAAAAACAAGACTGACTGCCCTCTGGCGATAAAAACGGCAAGCGAATACTAAGTAAAATAATTTTAAAAAAACATTTATATACACAGAATCAAATCTACAGCTGTATTGTAATTTCTGCTTCGTAAAGCTACGACACACAATTATATATCCGGAAAGCATCGTCTTTTAGCTGCAAGTTTACCAGATTTATTTTACTGTTCCAACACCTCACCCACCGTTAGAACCAGCACAGCAGCGAGTTTAGTCCTAACGGATTCCAGTTCTTAACGCCAAAATAAATTCTGTTACTGAAAATCTTCTGGACTATACAACTAATGTTACCTATTCTACAGTAATGGATAAGATTCTAGCAAGAACATCAACAACAAAATAAATACAGCTTATATACGTATACGTACTTGTCGAACAAAATTAGGAACAAAAAAGAAGAAATATTTCCGGATTTTTTTAGTAATAATCCAATATCTTGACTAGATGAAGTTTTTGTTTGTAAGGATCGTTTTGTGAATGGTATACTTCGGTTGGTGGTATGAACGGGTCCGGGCTTGATGCTGCGGTCACTTTCAGTAGTCCTGCTTAGTACAAGATCGACAAAAGCATGATACAAGTAATCGTCATAGTAACTGTTGCTATGGCGAGAGTCACTGGTTGACTTCCGTTGCAGCCATCCTCCTGGCAACATTGAACCTCCGTTTCTCCCTCTGTTTACAAAAATAACCACAAGAAACATTTAATTTTGTTCGTTATCTATCTCTTTATAAGTTCTGAAACAGTGTACTTTATAACCCAACTTGTTGCTATGGCAACTCCTTAAAGCTGTCGTGGGGATTTTATTATTATTAAATCTTTAAAGATTTATACTTTAAAAAAAATCAAGAAAACAAACATAAACCATAAACTTTGATTGATAATATAGATAGTTACAGCGCTTAGATATATATACCTAACTTTTGATCGATAATACAGACACACAGACATACTTATATTTACATTTACAATTAGATATTCATCTAACTTCATGTTGACAACACAGACGTTTATTTTAGTCTGACATCCTATTATAAGTGTTGGCATTATAAACTGAGGACTTTATTAATATCTCCCACTTAATATTAGGTTGGGCAACCTTTCGCTAGGCTGACATTCTTCTACAGTAGGTGTCTGTGACTTGTTGGCGATAAATTCGACAATAAACGAACAGCACACACCCCACTTATTTTAAAATAATATATTCAAAACAAATAAAAGTTTATATAAAAATTCTTTACACTATAGATATCACAGTTTTATCTAAAACTCTAAATAATTCTCTGTTCTTGTCAAAAGTCCACTTAGGCTGATTCAATTACTTTAGAATCCAATTGACAAGACGAATTATTTTTCTTTATCTTCTGTTCTCACAATACAAATCAGTGAATAATTCACTTATGCAACCCCGTGAGTTACCACAGTTGTATCCTGAACTTCAAATAATTGTTTTCTTTTCGTCAAAGTCCACACAGACTTGTTCAATTACTTTAGAACCTTTTATGAGACATATTATTCTCCTTATATCTATTAAACTGTGAAACTCACTTTAAAATATCGCCCATTATGACTAATCGCTCACACGCCAGCTAACTTCACGTTTTCTTTCACTAACTAACTTTTTTATATCTTCATTTGTTTAGTTCTCATAACTTGCGTTCGCTTGGTCGTCTGTATATATACGTTTATCCCCGAGGCCTCGAACTTTGTGTAAAGTACGCGTACAGCGCTGGTTTAACAATACTCAGTTAAGGTAACCAGGAAAATAGCGAAGGTTCGAGTAATGTGACGTCAACAATATTAGTGAAGCCTCGACAACAATGTAAATGCAAACGCAACGTATGACTCTTACAGAGTTACGGAACCAAACTTGTCATAACTATAAACGTTAAAATAATTAACTTTTAACTCTCTTGTTATAAAACAACTAAACAACCATTAAATATTAACTTACAAAATAAATTAAATAATAATGCCAACACTAAATAGTCGTGCATATCTAACAATCATATAGTGATTAAATTAATTTAGGTGTGTGAATAATGTTATGATCTGTGCCTAATTCATTATTCGATATCATACAGCTGACCAATTTTTTAATGATTATATATATAGTGGTGAAAATTATAGTGCCTCATCCAATTTGTTCACACTTTTTTTTTGGTTCCTCTAATTTTTACGAGATTGTGCATTATGGAAATGCCAGAACTAGTGTAAAACGGTCATGGACATTGTATGGTGTAAGCTGACTCATATTTCAGTCATCCAAACACATATATGCATCTTTATTAACAAATCAACCATGACAAACGTATTATAGCAGATTATCAGCAAATATTTGGCAATTATGAAAATGTTCTCCGAGTAAGAAAACCTAGATTTAAAGATAATGCCACTAATGTAATTGATGAAAAGTGGTCACAGAGTCTGTTTCTTGTTTTAATATTAGGTTGTACCCCCTCTGGCCTTGATAATTGCCTTGCATCACTGTATTTTTTTCCTTAAATGACAGACATTACGTGTACTGGCGCTGTTGATATTCTGATTACTGTTGCTTTTGAAAAGCCGATCAATGATACGGTCTTCGTTAACGATGTTCCTCTAAATGGGCGCCCACATTTAAAAATCAGAAATCTTTGCTTGTAACCTCTGTTATGCAGTCTAACTATGATATGTCTACATCTCTGCGTCTACAGGCCTCAAGCAATTAATTGGCATATAATACAGTTTACCTACTCTGCATATACAAACATTTTCTCCAAATGTGGCTGTGAGAATCCCAATAAACTAATCAGTCAGTGATTACTCCCATTTAGCTTTAAGCTGGTAAAACACACAACCCACTAAACTAATCAGTCAGTGATTACTCCCATTTAGCTTTAAGCTGGTAAAACACACAACCCACTAAACTAATCAGTCAGTGATTACTCCCATTTAGCTTTAAGTTGGTAACACACACAACCCACTAAACTAATCAGTCAGTGATTACTCCCATTTAGCTTTAAGCTGGTAAAACACACAACCCACTAAACTAATCAGTCAGTGATTACTCCCATTTAGCTTTAAGCTGGTAACGCACACAAGAACGTTGTCTTTACTTTCACAACCTAGATACAAACACACACACGTATATTCAGATGGACAACATGCTTACCTTGAGGCTGACAGTTTGAGATGCACTGCCTGACGACGATCCCTTTGTTGGAGTACTTCTGTTGTATTAAAGTTAAAAGAATTTAGTTAGCTGTTGATAAGTTAATAAACAAGTTTTAATTACGTCTCTAAAATTATCTGTATTATAAGTATTACAGTTCCATTAGGTTATGTGTACGATAACATAAAAGGAGAAACTTCACTAGTATCTAGAGAAAAAAAAAATCCAAGTACTGTACGATCACAATGAGTTTCATTGCCGTGAAAAAAAAAATTATAAAGGGATTTTATTTTATTTTTTCATCATTTCGATGCTTGGTTCAACGGTGTTGTTAATAATAAGCAGGCAAACAATGATTTATAATCATGATGATGGGGGGGGGGGGCGGATACTACGCGTTTCGACAGAAGGAGATAGACCCAATGTTCAGTTGAAGCATGTAATAAGTCACTTCATAATACTTATAAACCCCACATTTTAGCGTTAGAAATGCTTATAAATAGAAGTCCCTAGTACTTTCTTGGTGCGCGTCGTGAAATTCTTCGGTGTTTCATTTAATTAATTAATTAAACAAGATGTTGCAGTGCATGTAAAATAATAATAATGACAGTTTTGGGTTAAGGATATCGTGAATATGTTGTTCCTTTTATTGTAAAAAAAAACAACAACTAATATATCGACCCAATTATAATTATAGTATTTCGGCACTTGTGTATAAAATTAAAATCATAAATAATATTCAACGTTAAACTGGTACACAATTAAAAACATTTTATTTAGGCCTATCTATGGCCTTCAAAAAAGTTGACGTCTCTACATGTTTCGACGTTACATCGTCTTCCTCAAGATGCAGA